ACAACCTTACTAATTTTAAACTTAACCAATCCAAATCATTTAAAATTAAAATACTTCTTAATAAACTACCTACTCAATATCTCTATTATAAAATCTATTCTTTAACCTTTCATGATGCCAATTGCTTTTACTACAATTCAATTATGTCATCATTACACTGGTGCACTTGCACCAATTTCTCTCTTTTTGATATCATTATTCCCAATGCAATAACTAATTGTGTAAACTTAGCCAATTTAGATTTCTCTAACAATAAAACTAAAAAACTTATCCAAAAAATTAAAGACCATTTAGCTTTTAAAGAAACACCTCTTCACTTATCATCACACTATCTAGAAATTACTCTCAAAGGCCTCATTCCTCTATCTCTAATTAAAACTATACAGAACTTAGAAGTTCCATACAAATTAGCATCAACAATCACAATTAATATTCTGCTTGAAATTAACAAACAAATCTATGAACAATTATGGAAACCCTACTGTGTTAATTTCTTAAATTGGAAAAAACAATAACAAATAATTAATACATATACTATGCAACAAAGCTCATCTTTCTACAGTAGAAAGAATATACATATTTGTTATAATTTTACATATTCTTGTGTCTGCGGTCAACCTGACCAACTCCATTCACACACTGAAACCGGTCCACTTGTTGGATGGGCCTTCAGAAAAATTAGTACTTGGACTACTCTGTGAGTCAAGTATTATACAACTTCTAACTTTATTTTAACTATAAATGATATTATTTAGATGAGTTTTTGACCATTCTAGTAAGTTTAGATCACAGATAAATTAGATTTATTTAATTGTCTAAGCTTTTATTCTTGCATGTAATTTTCACTTTATTTGTACTAGTACAAATAGTAGAAATGTATGTATTGCACATATGTTACTATTTTATAAATTACTTAATAAAGATACAAGCAAGACTTTACTTTAAAAAAAAAATGCTTCAAGCAGAGAATGGTAATCCTAATGCAGTGGTTGAGTTGTTATTCTTCAAGTAGCAGATTTAAGATTCAAATTCCACCTATAACAAAATTTGAAAATTATGTTTATATTATGATAACTGTCTCTTATCGATTAATTGGCTTGTGCAGCTATAATTCAGATACATCAAATCAGATCCTACCAATATTAATAACTCAGAGAATCTATGCAAAGTGTAACATTATATATACATAGAGGAATGTATAACCAGTATTGCATAAAACTTCAATACAAACCTATAATAAGACCACTAATATAGAAGCCTAAGGAACTGTGATAATAGAAACATACTTGGAAATTCCTAAATAAAGAAGTAACATGAACTTTTGATAGTACTATCAGATTGGTTGAAGTCTATAAAATATCTTCATAAGAACTGAAAATTAAACCAAACACTAATATGTATAAAGAAGCATATAACCAACCAGGCCACCAAATTTGTTGAAGAAAAAAAATACAAAAGTATATTATATCAAGCCATTTGGATTGGTAGTCTAAAAGAGACTACCAATTCTAAGTTGTGACTAGTAGGAGATGATGAAGAAGATGTCAGAAGAATAGGTACTAAAATTCTAAGAACTTTACAAGAGTAAAAATAGTATAATGTAACAGTTAAACAGGCAACTCTTGTGACTGCAAGTGTTAGGTAACTATAACATATCATATAAAACTAGATCAATATGTGTGAGATATAAAAACTCTAGTAAGTCTCTTATCAAGAATAAAATAATTCTAAAGGTACTAATCAGTATTGGAAACTTAGATGAGTATAGTCTTGAAGATGTTCTCATGATACAAAATAGATTGCATATACAGAAGGTTTAAATAGACAAGACCTCTTTCTAGTTGGCTTGTAGGTATAACATCTAGTATAGAACTTATATAGCAATGTATAAGTGGACTTTTAAATTAGGCACCAAAAGTGCATATGTGGCTAGTTGTAATCTTCATTGTAAGATAAGCTCCTGATGACATGCTTTTTTCTATATACTTGAATAAACATGTTGCATTCTGAAGATAGGAACTTTAACTTAAAAAAATAAAAAAATAAAATAAAAAATAAATGCCTCAAGCTTTTAATAATAAGTAGAATCTGACTTGATGTATCTAAAATTACAAATGCATAAATCTAATTAATTAACAGAAGACAGTTATTATAACAAATATAATATCCAAATATCATTATAGGTAGAATTTGAACACTAGACTGCTAATTATTTTTCAAAATTTCATAAAAAAATACACATCACATTAACCAATCAAATTGCATTATTAACTTTTTACCAATAAAATTGCTAAATTTTTTTTAATTCGTACATTTTTTATATCCTCTTTCTTACTTCTATAAGCTATTTAATGTTATGTTAAATGAAAAATCAATTTGTAGTGGCCTTAATAAGCTATAAACAAGATTGTAAAACTTATTTAATATAAAATATGTAGATCCAATAACATTCTTAAATATAATATTGTATAGTAAATTTCACAGTATATATTTCCTTTTCGTTACTCTTTTCTATGAACAAAATTTTATTACATTGTTATTTATATGAAATTAATCATATATCATTATTTTATCTAACTTGCATAAGCTTTTTAACATACTTTTAATTTATTACAGACTAATCTAATGATGCGTAATGACCTCCGTCACGTGCCCCATGCGATCGTATCATTTAACATGGGTTAAGAACGATGGTTTTTTTCTTTTTTTAAAAAAAAGGGTCAAGAAAAACGAGTCAAGTGGCCAAGAATAATGTTTTTACTACAAAAATAAAAACAAAAAAAAAGAAAAAAAAAGAAAAAAGCAGCTCCATCCGTAATTTTGATATTCATTACGTTTTCAATAATCACTATAATCAGAGTCTCCATCGGGGAACACCTTGTGTAGGATCTCTGTGAGTAAATCATGAAACTGTGGATAACTACCAGAATTCAATGTTATATTCTTGAATCCTGAAGTCTTGCATACGTTTTGAAAATTTTGTACCACATAGCTCATCACGTGGTCTCGTAACTCATCATATTGCCAAGCCGTCGTAAATAAAAACTCTGCGGCGTTATTCACATTCACTCCCCGGCATAATTTTACTTTAGCATGTTGTTGTAAATTTTCGATCAAGTATTTGTCGGCAATTTTGAACATATTTACGGCTGATGTTGGAGAATCCCTGGGTCCAAATGATACACGATTGGTATAAAGAAAGCGTAGCATTTCAAGAAATGTGTCTGGATGGAAATCTATAACCTCTATAATAATTCGTTTAGACTTTCTAACAGATAGAGATGAATACACTGATCTAATTGAATCATCATCATCGTCATCATCACTCTCACTATCAGAAACTCGCCTTCGTTTATGCGAGAATGTTGAACTGCTTCCCAAAATATTGCTGTCCATATCAGTATCTTCATCTTCAGGCGTTGGAACTTGTTGTTGCGGTGGCGGCTGTGCATTTGGAATTTGATCCTCTTCACTTTGGTTGTATGTGATTGATTCCATCCATCGTCCTTCGAACATTCTTTGAAAATATTCCGACCGCCGTGTGAGTATTGTAGTATTAGCATAAATAGATTGTCCTTGGACTCGAAATTCAACGTCTGCATGCTCGGGCTTATTCAACTGATCAGCCCATGCGGTTACCAAGTCATCAGGGAATGGCTTACCATTGCCTGGAAATCTTGGTTTCTCGTCAGGGGTACCGAATTCTGTCTTATCAAATTCTATACCAAGTATTATTTGATCCGAGGGAAGTAGATGCTTTTTGCAAAATCTATTCCAACCTATTCGGTTTATTAATTTACATTATTATTTAGTAAATGTCAGAAATATATTCATAAATTACGTAAAAAAAAAATCCTAACCTCTCAATGGTTTTATCGCTGAGAATTTTGTTGTATCTAAAGTTGCTTTCTTTATCTCCACGAAAGTCTCTGGATGCTTGATATATATATCGGCAGAGTAAGTGGCTCGATTTGTCCATGTCGAAGTTGTTCCTCCTTCTTCATGACTTGGTATAGCTACTAGATACACGGAACAGTATTCTGGATTTTCTTTTGATGTCTTTTAAATAGGAAATTTTAACGGGAATTTTGTTGAAAATTGAAAGAAACCAAATTTCAATTAGTAAAGTTTATAAATTTTGTTCGTGTTCATATTCCAATAGTAATGAATCCATAGATGCCATATATTAAGAATGAATCAATAATGTATGCTGTATAAACTTTGCTTCTGCCGCAGTAAGTCAAGGAGGTCAAATTTTATCCAATGTTCTATACATCAACCTTCCAAGAGTACTTTGGTTTGCTCGCCTTGCTTTCTACAATAATACGATATATAATTATGCATAAAATAGACATACCGGCTTAAATTTAAGTTGCCAAAAGGTATCGAACGAAGTTGCAAAAGGTGGGCTATATACTTTAGTCGCCAGGTTGTTATAGTTTAACAAAGTAAACTCAAAGCCACTTCTCGCCTTGAATGACATATTGATTTTTGTTTATACTTATTTTTTTTTTTTACCTGAACCTTCGTTCTTCACGCTAAATGAACATTTAGCAATAAAGAATAAACGAACAATGAAATATATAATGTACAATTATTTACAGTAGTAAAAACACTATAAGGCTCGCTAATAAGTCGTATTTGTGTATTAGATAATACAGTAAAAATAATTTTTTAAAAGCAGCCTTTGACGTTATTTGAGTTTAAGACTTTTCGTTGACGTCGTCTTTACTACAGTTTCGCTTTGTTGGTACACAAATGTATAATAAAAATTTATATGTTGACTTTTAGAGTAAAGTTGATTCGTAATAGCTATAGGATTTTCCAACATACTAGGAACTTTTGATGTGGCTGGGTGTTTTTGACCAGAATTAAGATTGGTTAATTAGGGATTATCGATCTGTTTATAAAGCCACATAATTCAGCCACAGACTCCAAACATGTTCGGTTTTTTTATTGGGAAGATTCATTTTTATTAAAAATTTTTCGTGTAACTATTAAAAAAATTTAATTAATGGCTAGGGTCGGCACGGACCAGGGGATAAATTTGAACATGCATTTCTTAAAATATAACAACGAACCTTTCTATAATAATCTCGAATTTTGAAGTTTTTTTTTGAAACCATCAGTTTATTATAGAAAAGTTTGCTAAATTACTAAATTCAAAAATTAGTATTTTTTATTTTATTTTATTTTGTTTTTTTAAATATTTAAAGGTGATAAAATATTCTTTTTCAAATTAGGTCATGCAAAATTAATTAATTTATAAACCCGATCAGGTCAAAATTTGAAAACTTATAAAAAAAATTTATATCTATGAAATTTTTTAAAAAAAGTCAGTCAGCCAAGTTTCAACTAGCTTTCTCGGCTACGGTTTTTTGAATTATAAATAGGAGGTCTCATAGCAAAAGATGATGGACTAAAGAATTTTTTTTGTAGTTTTTTAATAGTGTTTTAAATGATTTAATTTTCGCAAAAATAAAATAGTTACAAAAAATTTTTTTTGGCCTATTATCATTTTTGTTGTGAAGTTTTTTAAATATTTCTAAATATATTAGATAATAATATATTTTAACTAAAGTACAAATAGTTATTTATACAATTTTAGTTATTTTCAATTTAAAGGTTTTGTTTAAAATTTTTTTATTTTTAGCAGTTTTGTCATTTATCTTTATTAAGAATTTTATATACAAATTTTGTATACAATTTAATTTAAGCTTTAATTTAACTTTTTTTCTTGTTTTTAAAATGTTTAAAAGTGATCTGTTGCATTAATTGAAATATTACCTAGATCTAAAAATAGTATCAAGTTAGTATACAAAATTATAAAAAAATAGTCTTACATTATAATTAATAAAATTTTTAATAAATCTAATTATATTTTTTGTACTTTATTATTTTTATTATTTTTGTTCTTTGTTTTTTATTATAATTGGGTTTTGTTTATTTATATTTGAAATATTTTTATTCTTTAAATGTTTTATTATTAGTAATCAGTTTTTTTTTTTTTACTTTTAAATCAATTTTGAATTTTTTTTTATATATTATTACTGTTTTTATATATTTTTATAAAAACTGCTTTCTATTCTGCTTAAAGTTAATGAACTTTCTTATGAACAAATATGGAAACCATATTGTATAAACTTTGCTAACTGGAAACAACAACAAGGACTTAAACCACCCTATGC